GGAAGGATCGCTGGAGCCCAGCAGGTCGAGGCTGCGGTGGCCGGGAGTGGCCACTGTACTCCAGTCTGGGCGACAGAGTGAGACTCCAACTCAAAAAAAAAATAATAAAATAAAATAAAAATTTTAAAGTGCAGGGCAACAGGAATTTGCCCTGCTCTTTCAAGGCCTTTGAAATGGAAAGATAAAAAAGTCCCAGTTTGTAAAACACCTGACTTTAGGATGTCATCCAGCAGCTACTGGGGAAATTTCACTCCTGTAGATGGACCTGGGCCCAATCAGGCACTGGGGCTGGCTCAGGACTCACCTCCCCACCAACCCTGAGCACCCACTTGTGGCTAATTTCTGACCTGTCATTTTATAGCTTTCCACATTTGCAGTTGATCCGCCTGGCTTGATCCTAAGCTCCAATGACGCTGGGCACGTCTGGCTGCCCTTCAAGTGCGCACACAACGGTTAGAATGGTGTTTTGCCCTTAGTGGGCCTTTTTCCATTTAGGGATTCATTTTCTGTTTAAGGCCTTTAACTAAGTCTACGTGTTGCAAAAACAAGATGCTTTGTGGCTTTCCTACAAAGCCATCAAACACAGATGTTTTCTGCCTCAAAATAAGGTAGCCCACTTTAATAAGGATTTAGATACATTGCACATTCCAGAAGGCATTCATTACAGACCCTACTCAGCCCATCTGGGACCTAGGGAGCAGTCAAGATTCAGAGCTTCTGAGGGCAATTTTTAAAAAATTATTTTAGAATTTTGGTGTACAAATGAGTGTCTGCAACATAAGTAGGCTGCAAGCAAGTGAAGTTTGGACTTCTAACTGGCCCTCTCTTGCCCCAATAGTGGGCTATTTTAGAAACAGGCTGCAGATGCAGACCTGGCCTCTACATGGCCCAAGGCAGTACAAATGGTAACTAAGTAAGTGTGAAATAAACCTTGTGGTCAAGGGCCAATCCTACCATGGAAACTCTCAGCTGTCACCTGAAGGAAGCATGGACCAGTCACAGTCAGGCTATAGGATGGTACTGTGGAGTCTCAGGCAAGCCTGCCAGAGGCGTGGCTAGGAGGAATCTGCAGTTGGGACAAGAAGTTTTTGAGGGCTGGGTGTTGGGTCTCCAAAAATGTTAGGTCTGGGAGGATTGTTAAGTCAGTGGACTGGTGTGCTGAGCCAGTGCCACAGGTAAGATGCAAAGAATTGCACAGAAATTAGACTAAAGGATACAGTTTATTTAGAAAGTAGATTAGAGAGAGAAAAAAGATTCACCTCCCCAAGGTAGGGAAGGGGGCCGAACTTTAGGGAAACATGACCTGGCCGGGCCAGGGCTTAACAAAAGCAATGTCGCTGGCTGTTTGAAGTTGAATAGTGTTTTTTTTTTTTCTGAGTTGGAGTCTCACTCTGACGCCCAGGCTGGAGTGCAGTGGCCACTGCAGCCTCGACCTGCTAGGCTCAGGCGATACTTCCACCTCAGTCTTCCAAGTAGCTGGAACAACAGGCACACGCCACCATGCCCGGCTAATTTTTGTGATTTATTGTAGAGATGAGGTCTCACCAAGTTGCCCACGCTGGTCTTGAAACCCCAGGGTTAAGGCAGTCCTCTCTCGTCTTGGTCTCCCAAAGTGCTGGGATCACAGGCTAAGCCACCGCGCCCAGCCTTGAATGCTTTTTAAACCTTTCCTTTGGAGTGGGGGTAGGTCATTGAGGTGATTGGGTGGTGATCTGTTTTATGTCACCACAAAGGGGCAGGCGAGTACAGGTAGTGATGTCAGGTGTTGGAGGCAGGCAGATGGGTGAGTTAGACACATGACTGTTGCCATGGTGATGGGGTCTGTGTCACATAAGTCAGGAAGAGCTGCTTGCAATAGATTTGGTCATCCTGGTTCTTTATGGCTAAAAGACAAACTTGGAGTAGAAAAGTAAACAGCACAAAGCAGGCTTGGGGGAGTTGTAAGACAATTATTAATAGCTACCTCTAAGAAACTGGTTTTGTCCTTGGCTAATGATTAGAGGGCAAGCTAGGTAATTTGCTAAGAAAACATGACAGAACCAGGCAGCATCAAGATGGTTGCACTTTAGCTAAGATTATTTCATTACATTATTCCATTTGGGCATTTTATCCTTTCACTGGCATGGGAAATCCTGGTCTAGACCACCAGGCACTGTCAACTTTAAGACTCTGAATGAAGTACAGCAAACTGCTGGATATCCTTTTCCTGGAGCCTCTAAAGGATTATCTAATCCTATAAGAGCAAACACCTTTGTCTTTGACTAAGCCATTTATCACTCTATGAAGATTCAAGTTAACTTGTAGACAACTGACAGCAGTACAAACGATTCTTCTCTGTAGACACACAAATAAACCCTGTCCAGTGGAGAAACAACCTTCTCCTCCCTCCAAAAAAGCCAATTTGCTTCATTTTCAAATTCCTGACCTCTCAAGGTCTGACCTTTGGATTCCCCTTTGAACTGACTGGAACATCTTAGTTTCCTTCTTGTAAGTAATGAGAAAAATAAATTATTTAACACACATTCCCTTTACATCTGCTATAGAGTCAAGACTTTACCTTTTTTAAAAATCATCCTTAGCCGGGCTCGGTGGCTCAGCCTGTAATGCCCGCCTTTGGGAGGCTGAGGTGAGTAAATTGCCTGAGCCCGCGAGTTCGAGACCCTCCTGGGCAGGCGAGACGAGACCTCATCTCTACAATAAATCAAAAAATTAGCCGGGCGTGGTAGTGCGCACCTGTAGTTCCAGCTACTTGGAAGGCTGAGGCGGAAGGATCGCCGGAGCCCAGCAGGTGGAGGCTGCGGTGGCCAGGAGCGGCCACTGCACTCCAGTCTGGGCGACAGAGTGAGACCAACTCAAAAAAAAAAAAAAATCATCCTTTAACACACATTGGGAGCAGGTCAGCAGGGGCACTGGAAGGTGTGGGGAGACAATCTGGCCTCTCTCCCCTCATCCCTTCTGATATCGGGATCTTCAGTGCTCAGAGAGCTGTGTCCACCTTTAATTGGCGTAGCTCTATTTGCTTTCAATCCTTCTGGTTTTGGTTTCACCCGTTCTAATCACAAATGCTGGTTACTCAGCATGTTTTTTGCCTCACATGATCACAATGTCCTGTTCCTGACTAAATGTGATGGGCAAGCACCAGAAAGGCCAGAGCACCAAGGGAAACTAGGGGAGCAAAGTTTCCCAGAAAGCATGGTGAACGCACAGAACCAACAACCCCTGAAGAGATTCCTGATTCAGAGCCAGGACAAGTCTTTGAAAGGAAATTGCATGTATGTAAACATTCTAATAAATGCTTTCTAGGCTGAGTCTTTCATCCAATCAAAAGCTGGGAGTGTTACAAAAGTTTAGCAGCAGGGCTAGTCGGTGGTTAAATGTTAGTAGTTGAGGTGAAGGCACAGACTCATTCCTTAGGTGGGCTGCATGTGGAGGGAAGGGGTGGCCACGAGAGGGGTGGTTTGGACACAGCTGGACCACCCCTGTCACCAATCTCTGAGTTTCAATGGCTTTAATAAAGATATTGCAGCTGGGCTCAGTGGCTCAGCCTGTAATCCCTCGCTTGGGGAGGCTGAGGTGAGTGGATTGCCTGAGCCCATGGGTTCCAGACCCGCCCGGGCAACTTGGCGAGACCTCATCTCTAGAATAAATCAAAAATTAGCCGGGCGTGTTAGCACGCGCCTGTAGTTCCAGTTACTTGGAAGGCTGAGGCGGAAGGATCGCCGGAGCCCAACAGGTCGAGGCTGCGGTGGCCAGGAGCGGCCACTGCACTCCAGT